CCGGCGGAGGAACCGCGACACCGGGACCACCCCGGGTCACCCCCCGGGACCGGGACCGGGACCCCGGACTCCCCCCCCGGGATCCCACCCCGGCGGAGGAACCGCGACACCGGATCCAGGGCACCGGGACCCCCCCTGCCCCACCGCGCTCACCGCCGCCGTCACGATCGCGCCCAGGCGACGTCACACAGGAACATGAATATTCATGAGGCACCGCCCACTCCTGGCCCCGCCCATCCCGCCCTCCCCAGGGCAGGGAGAGCATCTCCCAGGTCCTCTCTCCGCAGGCAGGAGGGGCTAAGGATGGGCTGGGGGGGCAAAGGAAAGAAAAACAAGGGGAAAAGAAGGGGAAAAGAAACAAGGAGAAAAGAAGGGGAAAAGAAACAAGGAGAAAAGAAGGGGAAAAGAAGGGGAAAACAAACAAGGGAAAAACAAACAAGGGAAAAACAAGGGGAAAACAAACAAGGGGAAAACAAACAAGGGAGGAAAAACAAGGGGAAAAACAAGGGGAAAACAAGGGGAAAAGAAGGGGAAAAGAAGGGGAAAAACAAGGGAAAAAGAAGGGGAAAAACAAGGGGAAAACAGCAAGAGAGGAAAAACCACGTTTTAGCACCCAAAATCGTTTTCGCCCTCGTCTCTCCCGTCCCCCCACCGTCCATCCCTGGCTGCAACACAGCATGGAGGAACTTGTGGTACAAAGGTGTGTTCCCAAACGTTTCCTGCAGATAATTAAATCAGGCCTGGTTTGATGGCAGTTGTTACCAGCCCATCCAGGGTTTTGGGGAGCAGCCTCCCAGTGGCTCCGTGTTGGGGAGGGATGGCCACCAGCCAATGGGATCCCCACCTGGGCTACCAGGGTGGGTGCAGGGGGGTGGTCAGGGTCACCCTGGTCTTATCCCGGCACCGGGCGATGCCAGGGATAAATGTTGGTCTGACAAACATCAGAGTGCAGGTGGAGTGCTGTGTCCTTCTTTGGAGTCCTCAGCAGAAGGACATGGAGCTGTTGGAGCGGGGCCAGAGGAGGCCACGGAGACACTGGGAGGGCTGGAGCCCCTCTGCTGGGAGGGGGGGCTGAGGGAGTTGGGGGGGTTCAGCCTGGAGAAGGCTCCGGGGAGACCTTAGAGCCTTAGACCTTAGAGGGAAGATTGAGATGAGATGTGGGGAAGAACTTGTTTGGTGTGAGGGTGGTGAGAGCCTGGCCCAGGTTGCCCAGAGAAGCTGTGGCTGCCCCATCCCTGGAGGGGTTCAAGGGCAGGTTGGAGGGGGCTTGGAGCAACCTGGTGTGGTGGGAGGTGTCCCTGCCCAGGGCAGGGGGTGGCACTGGATGGGTTTAAGGTTGATCTTAAGCTCGTCCTCCATTCCCTCAGAGAGGTCAGACTCTGATGGTGGAGGCCGCTGCCCTGCCAGGGATGACACGAACCTTCTCCATCCTTGGGAGGAGCCAAAACAGCAGGAGCATTAAACAGACAAACAACAGGTCGGGTAAGAAAAATACTGCCTCTTCTTTTAATGTTTAAAGACGTCAGTAAACAAACAGAAGGGTAGGGACAGAGGCTAAACCCCTCCCCGCCTCCCCCATTCCACACCACGAGGGGCACCAGGACGACAACTCCAGGGAAGGAGCAGCAGAGTCTGGGATTTGAGGGACAGGCCGAGAGAAATCTCTGCCGTGGGAGGAGAAGATGAGGGGAGTTGGGAGGAAGCAGCTTCCCTCACCCACGAGCAGAGCCACCTGGGCACAGTCAGGAGGGAACAGTGTCCGCTCCCAGCGAGCAGCCCCCGTCTCTCCCTGGCATCAAGAAGGGCCAGGTGTGACCTTGGAAAACACAGCTGGAAGCTACCTTAGAGAGGTGCAAGAACACACTACGTGCTGACCTTGGCAGCCAAAAACCTCTGCTCCACAGTGACTTTAGCCTCTCAAAGAACAAAGACAAGAGGGGAGTTTCGGGCCGGCGCGGCAGAAGGGTTGCAGTACTCGGTTGTGAAGGCAAAACTGAGCAGGAGGGGAACCAACAAGACTAAGCTCTGCAGCCATTCTCCCATCCTGCTCCATCGAGACACTCCAGACCCCTCTCCCTTGTCTCTTTTTGAACAGTTTTCCTTGGGCTGTGGAGCATCAGATGTGGAACATCAGGAAGCATCTCAGGGCAGGCTTTAGAGGAGAGTCGAGCGGGTACCGAGCGGGGGCCGGGGAGAGCGGGGTGTTGGTGCTGAAGAGAGGAGGAGACCGTAGGCCTGGTCAGGCTCTGAAGGCTGCCAGGCAGGACACAGCACAGATTTGGGCACTCGTTGACTTCCCAGAGTGGTGACAACTGGAACCGTGACACGTGGTGGGGAATAAGGAACACGTTTCTCTGCCTCCCCAGGTAGCAGAAGGCTGCGGTGGTGGTGGTGGTGGTTCTGCTGGCAATCAAAGGTCAAGGGAGGGCTGCCTAGCTCCTGCGTGGCCCAGTCAACTGCACCAAGCACCAGCGTCCAGTTTGGGGCCCCCCTCCTTCCCCCCCCATAGTCCAGAGTGTCCCACAACAGAGCCCTCAGATCTCCACGTCGCTCTCTTTGTCGTTATCGTGGTCACCGTCATAAAACTCGTTAGCAGCTTCAGGCCTGGTGGGGGAGAAAGACAACCACCATCAGTGAGGAGAGCCCTTGGGGACAAAGAACATCTAGGTCACACTGTGACAGGTCAGAAGATACCCTGCACCTGGACAACCCTGTGAAGTTTTATGTGAGGAGACTGCATATTTCTATAGAGAGACTCCTTGGATGAAGTAGGGAGGTGATTGTGCCCCTGTACTCAGCACTGGTGAGGCCACACCTCGAGTGTTGTGTCCAGTTTTGGGCACCTCAATCCAAGAGAGATCTGGAGGTGCTGGAGCAAGTGCAGAGGAGGGCAACGAAACTAGTGAAGGGCCTAGAAGACAAATCATATGAAGAGCAGCTGAAGGAGCTGGGGCTGTTTAGTATGAGGAAGAGGAGGCTGAGGGGAGACCTCATCACCCTCTACAACTACGTGAAAGGACACTGTAGAGAGGTTGGTGCTGGTCTCTTCTCACAGGTAATTAGTGACAGAACGAGAGGGAACGGCTTCAAGCTCCAACAGGGTGGGTTTAGATTGAACATTAGGAAGGAATTTTTCACAGAAAGAGTGGTCGGGCGTTGGAACAGGCTGCCCAGGGAGGGGGTGGAGTCACCATCCCTGGCTGTGTTGAAGGGCCGTTTAGATGCAGTGCTGAGGGACATGGTGTAGGGGAGGACTTTGTAGAGTAGGGGAGATGGTTGGACTCGATGATCCCAAGGGTCTCTTCCAACCTCAATGATTCTTTGATTCTATGAAACCAGGGACTCAGAAATGACTTAGAATCTGTTCTAGGGACCAGATGAGCTCCAGGATATCATCTGCCCGTCCCAGCAGGGACAGAAAGGGGAGCCCGTTTTTTCCAGCAGGAGATCTGGTACCTGCTGTAGTTTTCCTCAGAGCCTCTTTCCTCCGGATCGGGCTCGTCTGTGCGATCGTAGCTGAGCAAGTCAGAAGGGACATCGTGGATCTGGACGCTGGGCGCGTGGTTCAGCATCTTCAGGTTCTCAAATATGGTCTGCCTGATCTGATCCAGGTACTGCAGAGAAAAAACAGAGAGGGACCACCGCAGTGAGATCCAGAGGTCTACACAGAGCCATCAACCCAACCATAGAATCACAGAATCTTAGTGGTTGGAAGGGACCTCTGAGATCATCGAGTCCAACCACAAAAAAAAAAAAAAAAAAAAAAAAA